TCGCAAATCTTTGACGCCACGTTAATGAAGGAACTCCCAATATGTTTTGCAAAATCCAAACCTGATTTTGAACCTGTCATCGTTAATGATAAGCCAATTAAAGTCGTGACAAGCGTCAAGTTGCTAGTGCTCAATATTTCGAATGACCTCATAAATGGAACGGTCACATTAGTGAGATCTTAAGAAAGGCCGCCACCCGATTGTATTTCCTCGGGCAGTTGAAACGGACAAAAATTGCTAAGAAAGACCTCGTTTTTACACTACTTGTATCGCCCGATCACAGAGTACCTGTATTTCGCAATGGTTTGCCCAATTATTTATCAGATGATTTGGAAAGGATAAAAAAGCGTGCCTTACGGATAATATTTCCTTACTCTACCTATATTGAGGCAACCTCGTACCCAGGGCATTTTGCTTCCGGTCAGCGAAAATGGCCCTGGCATCGGCCGGTCACATGACCTCAAAATCTCCAGTATTTGGGGTGTTCAATTATGATAATTTATAAGTATAAGTACGTATATAGAATAATTATATACATTTTAATTACTGACAGGAGTAAACAAAGTCAATGCTGCGTATATAATCAAAGAGAAAGCAACAAAATAAGTTGACTTTATTCGGTTTTCGTTGTTTACACCTCATTGGCTCATTCAGCAACATAGCCCGTAATATTGATGACTTTTAAACATGTTCAGAGTCTGCATGGTTAGCCTGTGATTCAATTCTTAATGAACAAACCAAACAAAACAAAACCGCTTCAGCGTTTGGTTTATATAAATCGTGTTATGACCAAATATATTCGTATCACAATCTCTATTTGACTATAACGCTGTACGTTTCCTGAAATCAACGATGTATAAACGACGCATGTGAGAAATGTATGTTGAACCGAAGCAAATATTCGTCTATACAAAATGTACAAAGACTTAATTTGGACCGAATTATTTTGTGATGTATTGTCTTTCCCTAATTCTTGCTGTATCTCAAGCGAAATAAGCGAAATGTCAAAAATCTTATTTACTAAATACTTTAGTCCTTCAAAAACTAATTATAAATTTGTCACTCCACTCTAGATCTCGTTCTACCAAAATAATAATTATTCCCACATATATTGAATAATTACATTCAAAATCATTGACCAATCAGGTTGCAAAACAGACCAGCCGCGCGCGAAGCCAGGGCCTTTTTCGCTGACCATCCAACCGCGGAAGCAAAAAGCCCTGGGTGTCGTAGAGAAAGTTTGACAACGAAGCTCTTTGAACAGCTATGCAGTAATGCCAACCATAAGTTACATCATTGACTGCCAGATATAAATACATACACCGTTGATGTAAGAAACCGTCGCAAGTTCAATGTCCCTCGTTGTAAAACCAACAGACTATAACAGACAGTTTTATATATAGAGTAATTCGATCAAATTGATTAATAACATCCATATATTAGCTTTTGGTTATATATACATTCTATTTTTAGCACTAGATTTTTTATTTTAGTATTAAATATTATCATAGATGTAAAGTTAATGCAAAATTCAGCTTTACATCTGCAATGTAATTGACTTAATAAATATCTATCTATCTACCTCTTCTTCCTATTTAGATTGATTTACTTTGGAAAAGAAATATATCAAAAGTTGCAACTCAAGGGTACCCGTATGGATTGTACGTACAGAATTACAAAGTAAACTACAGTACAGATGGAAAGACGTGGCTCTCTTGTAACAATAAACAAAAACGGATAGTAAGTTATATATTATTCCTGATCTGTATTCTCTAGAGGTAATGAAAAGACTGATTACGTGAGACATTCGTATTTATATCACATGAGCTTACTCTCACCAAGGCATGTGGTACAACACGATGACATCAACGCATCGAGACATGCGGGAATTGAACCACGTAACCTTCTGATAACCGGACAGACGCTCTAACCATTGAACTATAAGGCCTCAGATGGTGAGCCAAGGTTGTTTATTACGCCAAACGCTGGATGAAGATTACGTCCTGGAAAAGCTATTTGAAATTGTCTTAACACTGCAAAACGCTTTTTGTTTCGAAATACTTTTCAACAATGACTGTTCTTTCCGGAATTGTTAGCTTTGGCATTATGAATGGTGATTGTAAAGTTTTAAACAACAACGTTCTAAATTTTAGCAAACTATACCTTTAATTAAGTCCCCAAG